TAATAAACCATTTCTATTGTCCAATATTTTGATCCACGTATCATTCCAGCTACAATTTCAGCTGCAACTCTATGACTACCTTCTTGTTTTTCTTTGGTTTTTTCATGTATAAGTACATATAATGTTTCAATAAAATTATCAACCAATGCTGGGCCATAATTACGAAAAAGTCCCTAAAAATAAAATATTTTTCTTATAAAGAATCAAAACGTGACTATAAAGGTTTGACTATAGAACGAAATATATATATATATTGGCTTGTAGAGAAAGATATCCTCTACATAATGATGTATACAGTATCAAGTACTACTGTGTACTCAATGATATCTTGGTAGGTGGCGCTACCTTCACAAAATTCTACCGCTCATGTCAGTCCGTACACTTCGATACGTCACGTGCACCAAGTGTGACAGCGCACCTATTCTCAATTCTCTTTGGCGCATTTTCCGATTGGCTCCTTTTTGTAGATCAGCCCCCTTCTAATGAATTGAAAGATTCATATCTAAATGTTTCCACTGGAGCACCTTTTATTAATTATGGAGGAAAAACGTGCTCAGTGTCAATAAAACATGAGCTTTTTTGTAGCTTTTTACAAAACAGAAGTATTAGGTAATACAGAATATCAACAACCAATATTCATACACAACAAATTTATGGAATAACATTGAAATACATGAACTAGAATATTGATGAGGCCTTAACAGTTATGTGTTGACAAAAACAAACAAGGAATCTGCACGCGACAAAAGAGTGAAAGATATTCAACCAGACATGAACTATAAATTTCATTGCAAAAACAATTCAGCTTAAAAGAAACAAGAGTACACATCAATAAAAAGTTGAAGGATTAACAACAAAAATAGAACAGAAACAAAGAAAACAAAAGTTCTATTTGAAAAAAAAAAGACTTTTTTTGCAAGTTGGAAATGTTCTTGCTCACTAAAAAGATATTACATTTTAGCAATACAAAAACAAAAAGAAAATTAGACATAGATCCTATAACAGTAGAAATAAAAGTATTCACGAAAGAAATTTTCATGTGAAAGCACGAAAAATATTCAAAAAGCTTAGGGATGCCAATTTATATTTACTTTCACTTTAATTTATGCATAAATTAAATTATCGATAATTTAAATTTAAAATAAATATAACTTATGAAAATTCAAATTTGTTTTTAATGGTAAATTATGAGAAAATATTTATACTTATTTTAAATATAATTTAAGAATAATTTATATTTAATTTAAATTAACAGGAAAATGACATGCCTACGAAAACTACTGTTTTAATCGCATCACAAAAACCTTACTTTGTCTAAGAAAGGCACAGGTAACTTGGAATAATAATAATCTGAAAAGAGAAAAAACAACTTTAATAGATGCGTATGTGTTTAAGAAAACTATGATGAACAATACATAAATAAACTAGTTAGTTTTCAAAAAGACCCCCGCGTAATATTAAAAGAACATATTCCAAAAGAAAAAAAATTAAATACTATCTACTATACACAATGATGGTAGGACAAATGACTGAACAAATAACGGTTTTTCTTGTATTTATACTGATTGGTCGAGTTTTAAACCAATAAGCTAATTTGTCACTGCGTTGTGCGCACTGAGAGCGTCACGCAACGCATACGGAACCCTATAATAGCGTGACAGAGGCTGCACGATCTCGCACGGATTACCATGAGCGTGGTCGCGGCGAAGATTGCATCACATACATAGCTCTGTATCGTAGCCGCTGAGAAGATGGCGATACATATCTACATGTCAATAGCTTGCAGTTGAACTTAATAGTGCATACACTGTAAAAAAAGTTTTTTGCTACGGAGCCTAAAAAGGTTCTTCGAGCGGATACAAATTCGAATCCTTCTGCTGGTTTCATAAGAAATTCCAAAAAAACTCTATGGCAAGAGCATAAAATTTTCTTCGTCTCCATGGATCTTTCAGAAAGTTTTGTACTTTTCAGATAAAGCCTTTTCTAGCTTTGATACAAATACAGAAAAGCAGTTCCAGTTTTGTATTTGTTTGTGAAACTTTTTTAGATTTTGTAAAAGAATCATTTTTAGAGTACATGTACAAGCCTTTTTGTGGTAACAAGTCATCGAAAACTTATAGACACTTATCTTTATTTTAAACATTCGAAATCGAAACATATCAAAATTGATCGCTTCTTTTT